TTGCCTACACATTGACATCAGACTTAGAATCTACACCTGCATTATTCTTGCAAGGTGAGTCTCTATTAATGCACCATACAAAATTCTATCATTAACTTACCCAGAAAAGCGACAAACACTTCCCGGACTCCCCGGTTTTACACCCACATTAGACTGTGTTACAAGAGAGAATGAGCAAGAGAGAATAAGCCATTCTCTATTGGGTGTTAATACTAAGAAACTTGGTATTAACTCTGCATTCCAGATCAGTTGAGTAACAGTCGGCAAAATCAAGGCCAGAAAAAATGTCACAGTTTTGGGAGATAACTTAGAATCTACACCTGCATTATTCTTACAAGGTGAGTCTCTATTAATGCACCATACAAAATTCTATCATTAACTTACCCAGAAAAGCGACAAACACTTCCCGGACTCCCCGGTTTTACACCCACATTAGAGTGTGTTACAAGAGAGAATGAGCAAGAGAGAATAAGCCATTCTCTATTGGGTGTTAATACTAAGAAACTTGGTATTAACTCTGTATTCCAGATCAGTTGAGTAACAGTCGGCAAAATCAAGGCCAGAAAAGATGTCACAGTTTTGGGAGATAATTCTGTGACCAAATTTTCAGGAGAGGTCAATCGTTTGTTAATATGAAGGGAAAATATGTGGAGAAAAAAAGATAGACAATCTTTTACCTCTTGCTTGACATTGTTTATCTCTCGAACTGTTTCGCCCATTAGGAATTCTATGTTACCACTTCCATTTTCAGCGTTAGTGAGTCTTCTTGAAATGTCCCCAGGCAAATTCTGAGGCAACAACATAGCGGAATTTGATGCCATTGGTATGTCTTTAGCAGTTCTAACCCTTCCTTCCAGTAATGCAAGTCTTTGGCCTTGTTCCACCAGTTTCTGGCGCAAATCTGTTGTCTCTCTTACAGCTGTATCTATTTTTGATATTGCTTCGGAAACGAGCCTTTCCGTTCCCCTCGTCCAGTCATCAGCGCCACTACCAACCCATGCACCAGACGCGCCGACAATGTGCTTTACGTGCTTCTCAAGACGGAGAACGAAATTCAGCAGCAGATTCAGGTGAAATACGGAACATATCTGGTTATGTTTCTTTGCCTCAGAATACTTCATTTTCTACAGAAAAGCATGGTTACTGAAGTTAGACATGAACTGCCAAGGGAGGCCAGTAAATTAGCACGTGGGTACGTTGACGGTTCACAAAGTGCACCCGTAGCGTGTAATTCTAAAAGATAAATACCAAAAGCAAACCTTCGTAGCCTTTTCACATCCGATTTGCTCAAAAGAACAGCTTCGTTCTACTTCCTCGCAGTCACCATCAACAGGACTAACATGCTTTTCCATCTGTGCACAGAAGAAAGGATAATTTTCTTTAGATTGATTAAAAGTTGTAAATTTGCCGTGTGTAAAATAAGGATCTGAACTGTAGCTAAGAGGAACACACTAAATTGAATTGTACGGCAATATCACATCAAGTTAACTTTCATATCTGTTTTCCAGTTGCGTAAAAATATTACCTATAAATTTACGTATGCAGTTATTCAAGAGAACAGGTGTGAGCTTTCCTCTGAGCTTTAGTAACTTTAGTTCGCGCCCTGTGGCCTTTATGTCAAGTCACTCACTCACTCAACCTCTTCATCCGGGCTGGGACATGAGGCAGTAGCGAAATTTCACCTCTCTATCTTGTCCTGAGCGTTGGCCTGCGCTTCACGCCATTTTAGAACCAACACCTCCAGCCCTCTCATCACTGTTATCCGCCAGTTGTTTTTTAGCTGGCCTCCTCGCAGTTGGGGTCAATCTTAAGGCAACTTTGGGTACTTCTCACTGGCCGGGCATCCTTGGTTCTTAATTTCGACGGACATAATCACATATTCATGCCTTCCGTCTTCTTGAACAGTTCCTCATTACTGATCTTGTTACTCCAGTAAATATTGCAGATCTTACGGAGGCAGCTGTTGTCAGAGATATCGACCTTTCTCATCTTCTTTCGTCACTCTCCAGCACTCAGAGCCATTCAAAAGTGCAGCTTAACATTGCTGTTATAAAGCCCGATCTTAGTTTTGAGGCTATATTACACAGACTTCCCTATGTTGCGGAGTTGACTGAAAGCACCTCTGGCTTTGTTAATGTGGGTCTTGATGCCTTTATCGGCACCTTTGTCACTACTAATAAGGCTTTCCATTTAAGTGAAATCGTCGACACAGTCCAGTTCCTCTCCACTGTTGGTGATTCGGGGTGCTTAGGGGCATCGACATAGATCACCTGGGTCTTTCTAAGGTTGATGTACAGACCGGTTTTCTTGCAAAACGGCTTAGTCGGTCACATTTCTCCTGGACATGGCTAAGAGTAGCCTACAGGGCTGCCAGATCATAGGCAAAATCGGCGTCTTCCAATATGAGAACAGGGTCCACTGTTGCCTGGGACCAGTCTCCGCATTGGGGGAAAAGGAAAAAAATCGATGGGGGCGAAAAAAAATCGGCGAGCGAAGCCACCCTTTTTCGCTCCCCAGACTTCCGTTCCGCTCTTTTCGCTCGTCGATTTGTTTTTCCCTTTTTCGCCCACTGCGGAGCCTGGTCCCAGACTAGGTTCACTGGATTCCTCGGGGACAGTCTTATGCCTCGACAGTTGTCACAATTAATGAGGCCCCCCCCTCTTAGGGATCTTGCATATAAGGCCCATACTCCAGTCTTTAGAAATCACCTCATGGTTCTAGATCTTAGTAACGAAATCGTTCAGCCCCAAGGATGTAGTGATGGTATCTGTCTTTAGTACTCCTGCTTGTAGCGAATCAATCCCTGGAGCGTTTACATTTTTCAAGGGCTTTATTACAGTATCCACTTCAGCCCGAGAGGGCGGGTCGGTGTTAATGTTGAGGCCATCCGAAGGTCCTCGGTTCGCAGCCTCATTAGGCTGTCGGCGGTTAGGCGCTTCTTTGAAATGCTCGACCCATCTTGCAGCCTGTTCCTTTTCAGTTGTGATAACTTTCCCTTCCTCATCTTTGATTGGTTTGATGTGGGTGTTACTCTGTCCACTTAGCTGCTTAGTGATCTTGTACACAGTATTGAGGTCTCCCTTGGCTGTAGCCTTTTTTGCTTTATCAGCTAGCTCCTCCACAAAGGCTCTCTTGCCCCTTCAGGCACTTTTCTTTGACGTCTTGCTTTGATATTACATGTATATACTTCTGTTGCATGCTGACTGAGTCAGCCTAGGGGACTTTGCACTTAGCTGGTTATCTTTGGCTTTCCTCCTCTCATCGATTTTCATCCACGTATCAGATGTTATCCATTGTTTATCTTTCTTTGTAAAGCCCAAGATACACTCTCTGCGGTTTCTTTATACACTCTTAAGATGTTGCTCCAGGTTGTTTCAATAGGGTCCTAATTTTCTCCATCTTTAATTCTAAGTGCGCTGAAGCAGTTTCTAAGCTCGATATTGAACTCTTTTTTAACCTCAGGTGCACCAAGGTTGTTGATGTCAAATACTTTGCGCTGATGCTTGGTGGCAGGTTTTGCTCGTAGTTTCAACCTGACCTTGGCTATCATCAATTAGTTTTGACTTATTTCGCCATACGAAAATCACATTTATGGGTGCTTATTAATTCTAGGAATATCATACCTCTCCTCGAAGGATTCCCTCTTTACGACATAGACCACATTGCACGGGATGCATTTTACAATCCTGTTCTTGGTGGCTCTGAAGAACGGGAAACAAATCACAAAGTTTTAATTGGCTATATAAAATCAAGTAATTCATTTGTAACTCCCAAGCGTGTCCTGATTTGGTATGGACGAACGGTAAACCCGGCTTTAGAGCAATATAAGGTGACAGTGGGGCTCTTCAACACCGTTTTCATAATAAAACGTTTCTCCAACCCGCATGTGTGTGGGATTTCTTGGATGCCTGCAAAGTTAGTTACAAATATTAGAGAACGAACACAAATGTTTACAAACGTCTCCTGCAATTGTATTGAATAAAATATTTGAGTATTTTTTTTGGCGACAATCCTGTCTTATCTACGCGGGTGATAGTATCTTTTCCCAAAATTTCAAAGTTACTTATATTTGCTGAATTTTATACATTAAATAACTTTTGAAGTTCTTTGCTGTAGACGTTTGAGTCTCAGTAGCCTAGATAGTCGGGTCCGCCGAGAGAAAGCGCGAGCATGAAAAAAAAAAAACAAACCTTTTCTCTTGCCTGTTACCTTCAAGTCTTCCCCACTATCTGAGAGCCTGGAACAGGCTAGAGACTCGGTAGCCTTAGACGACTGCACATTAAACAAAAAGAAAACAATTTTCCTTGGTCTATACTCTTATAGACCATAAACATGACGTTAAAATGTTAAAAGCTCAAGTGGAACCACGAGCCGCAGGCGAGTCGTTTTACTGCAAAGTTTTAAAGATTCAGGCGTCATGCTTTGGATGTCTATCCTGATGGTATAATGACACACTAACCTTTAGAAAAGCTGCTGTAATGGATTCCCCGCACGAAGGACACGGCTGAGGGCGGTATGGACATTTCCTTTCGACATGTTGCTGAAAATCTACTCTTCTTACCCACTCGGAACAGCCTTTGTTTGTACAACGTTCCTCTTTGTAAGGGCAAGACGAAAGATGTTTCTACAAGAAATATTGGAGGAGAACTAGTTAGTTTGGCAAGCTAGAAAACCATTCAGTTCAATTCATGCTTCTTGTCCTTCTTTGATTGCTGCTAGCATCAAGGCGTCGCCTTTTATGGGTCGTTACCTGGCCGAAAAGAAATGCTGTGCAGGACATATGTCTCATGCCCAAAATATGGACGAAGAATACTGATTATGTGTCGGTGCCATTATATTGTGATGTAAAACGTGTAGGAAAAAGTTTTAGCTGATTCCCTTAAGCGGTGGCCTCCTTTTTTTAGGATCGCGTGGGAAAGTTGACGCTGACTTAAATTGTTCTAAGAAGTCTTTTCCACTAATAGTCCTGTCTTGATTAATACATATTTGTCCGAAGATTA